CTGAAAGAACCGAAAAACAAATTCAAACCTCAAGTTGCAGTACTGAAGGATTGTATGGGCAAAATGTTAATGATACAGGAAGCATTACAAAGAAGATGGGAGGAATACACAGAGTTAGGTATCAAAAACAATTCACTGAACCATTTCAGGAAGTATCATATGATCAAGAACCTGTAGTATTGGCAAAAAACAAGGCCCCAGGAATTGATAGAATACCAAATCAAGTATTTCAGGAAAGAGATACACCCTGGACATGCTTACCAGTCCCTGCCAACAAATATGGAAGATAGCTTCCTGACCAACTGACTGTAACTGATCTGTATTTGGTCTTATTCCCAAAATAAGGTGACCCAGCAAGCTGTAGAAATGATCAAATAGTATCATTAATATCACATGCAAGTAATATGTTGCTGAGCATTTATTTTAAAAATGACTGAAACAGTACACTACCAGAAATTCAAGCTGGATTCAGAAGAGGTTGGGCATAAGGGATATTATTACTGATATCACGTGGATCTTGTCATAAAGCAGAGAATACCCGAAAGAGGTGTACTTGTGTTTTATTGATTATGCAAAGGCATTTTGACTGTGTGGATCATAACAAATAGATAACATTGAGAAGAATGACAATCCCACAGCACTTAATTGTGCTCATGCAAAACCTGAACATAGACCAAGAAGCAATTGTCCAAACAGAATAAGGAAACATTGCAAAGCTTAAAGTTAGAAAAGATGTGTGTGAGGGCTGTATCCTTTCTCCATACCTATTCAATCTGTATGCTGAATAAATTATTCCAGAAGCTGGTCTATGTGATGAAGAATGTGGCATCAATATTGGAGCAAGACTTATCAACAACCACAGCATTGCTTGTAGAAAGCAAAGAAGAATTGAAGCTCTTACTGCAGAAGATCAGAGACTACAGCCCTCCATGTGGATGACATCTCAACATGAAGAAAGCAAAAGTCTCACCACTGAATGAATAGGCAACATCATAAGAGATGAAGAAAAGTTTCAAGTTGTCAAGGATTTAATTTTACCTGGATTTACAATCACTCCTGATGTAGAGGCAGTCACAAATTTTTTTTTAAAAAAAGTTTGCATTTAGAAAATGGGCTTTCAAGGAACTCTTTTGTGTTAAAGAGCAGGGATGTCAATTTTATTACTAAGGTGCATCTGATCCAAGCCATGATACTTTGATTTTCTTCCTATGGCTGTGATAGCTGGACAGTGACAAATTGATGCTTTTGAATTGTGGTGTTGGAGCAAAGTACTGACCTATTAACTGCCAAAAGAACATACACAAATCTGTCATGGAGGAAGTACAATGAGGATGCTTCTTAAAGGCAAGGATGGTGGAACTTTGTCTCACATACTTTGGGCATGTTATCAGGAGAAGCCAACCTTTGGAAAAGTATATCATTCTGAAAAAGGTGGAGGATCAGAGAAAGAGAGGCAGACCCTCAGATATATTTACATAGTGGCTCTAACAATGGACTAGAGCCATGTAGGAGATGAAAGTGGCACAAAATAGCAAGGTTCCATCTGTTGTTCATAGAATTGCTATGAATTGTAGTCTGCTTGATGGTGGTGTTGTTGCTGTTGTTATGTGCCATCGAGTCGCTTGTGACTCATAGCAACCCTATGTACAAGAGCCTTATATGTTCT